TTTTATATACCGGTCTCTCATTATAACGGCCAGAAACTGCCAAAACACTCGTGCCGGTATAGACAGAGTTGACTGTACTTTTAAATTAACGTTGCTCTACAGTTTATTACAAAACAAATAAGCTATAAATTACATCAAACTGATGCTTCTGTGTAGAGCAATGACTGTTTGAATATAGCTGCTTGTAACCCTCAAATACGGCTATTACTGGCAAATGCATAGAAGCCTTTTTCTGCATTTTTTGAGACATTTTGCTAAGCTATTTGTGTCTATTGCATTAATAAAAAGTGTTTATTTTGTCTATGCAATTCTTATAAGTCAAAAATTACATCAAATATATGCATATACAAAAAATAATATGAGTAAAATTAAAATATTTATAAAATTAGCCTTAAATTTGTTTTCATGTGTTTTTCATATGTTTAATGTTATGTAACCTTGTACATACTTTTAAATCAATGTTGTTTTACAGTTTATTGCAAAACGAATAAGCTATAAATTACATCAAACTGATGCTTCTGTGTAGAGCAATGACTGTTTGAAAACAGATGCTTGCAATTAACTATTTACTGTGAATACATAAAATTTTTTTTGCATTTTTGAGGACATTTTTGCTAAGCCATTTGTATCTACTGCATTAATAAAAAAGATACATTTTTGTCTATGCAATTCTTATAAATTAAATACAATTTTAATTAAACCAGTCTATAAAGCATAGAACTTATATAAACTTTATGTTACACAGATTTGTTATATTAGGTTTGTTGGATCTTCTGCCATTTTCTTATTATGCAAAGCTTTGTCACATGCTTAATTAATTCTTGTCTATACCTTTTGGTGATTCTGATAAACCAAAAATTGCGATAAACAGATGAGTCTGCGTCAAGAAACAAACATTTAAAGCAATTTAATTCTATGCAAATATTCAAAAAATAATTTATTTGTTATAAAAAATTTGAATTAAGTTGTAATGTAAGTTTAACTACTTACATAAAATTTATTAATAGTTTTATAATAATAAATAATTCTAAATTAGTTTGACTAAAAAACATTGATTTTATTCAATTTTAGAATGAAAATCTTTAAAACAATTAGGACATGATTTAGAACAACAAAGAGGCACATCACATTTAACACATCATAGTTGGCTTTCATTAGTACTAATTTTAGAGCTATTATTATTTTTGCCAAATACTGACAGTATGTGCAGGCTGCCCTCCTTTCTCTCCATTCTGGAAAGTGGTCTCCAGGTAATAAACGGGAGGTAGGCAACTCAAATTTTTAGTGACATAAGCAACGCGCTTCTCTTTTAATTGTGTCTGAAGAATAGTTTCTTCATTCAGAGACTGATCTCTGGTTTCAATTCTATTGACATTACTTAAAGTGCTTTTGATTAAATCCCATGCCAGATTAATTCTGAAGACTTTATTTTTAACATTTTCATCTGTGGCTTTGTGGTAAAGAATGGAACAATTAACAAGCACAGTGTCCAACAGCCAAAGTAGTAAAGGAAACCAAGTGCGACGAACTGTTAGTTGACAATTATAATAGCCTCTTAGTTGGTCAGCAATATCAACACCTCCCATAAAGTGGTTGTAATCATCAATTACTTTTGGAATTGCCAATTCTTTTCTAGGGGCATTACCAAAACTTGACGTACTGTATTAGAGTTAGAGCTTGTTTCTCTTGGGCGTCTTCGATTACGAATGATTTTCCATTCATCACCACTAATCTTATGAATAGTAGTAAGCATTGTTACTGGCCCATTGTCAATCCATAAAGTAGCTAAAACATTATCTATCACCTTACCAGAAAGTGTGTTCCAATCTAATGATAAAGTTTTTCCTATTTTTAATTCCTTAGTGAACTTGGCTGAATTAGTGCGGACAGTTCCACATGCACCTATACCATTATTACGTAAATGTTTAAAGAGTGGAATATTGGAAAAATAATTGTCCATATATACATGAAAAGTTTTGGTGTGAGGAAGTTGTTTCACCAAATGCCATACTAAACGGCCTGTCTCATTAAGTCCAACAACAGATTCTATATCTGTATTCTTTTCTACCCGTGAAGTGAACATAAATGTATATGTATATCCAGCATCACAGAGTGAAAAAATCTTATAACCCTCAGGTGTTGGTTTGTTCTTCATCCTTACTGTGTGTGCACTACGGCCAGAAAAACGAGCGATCATCTCATCTATGACATAAACTGTTTAATACTATGTATCGCTTTATTTTCACTGCATAAATCTTATGAAAACCCATGTAAATTACTAATGCAAACCATACTTATAGCTCATTTAATGTTAATGGTGTCCACAAGCGGCCACCTTCACTGCCCTTTATTTGTTCATAGTTGTTCGTATTATCAACTATTGTCTGCAGTAATGTATTAGGAAAAAACAATTCGAAAAACGCAAGCGACTTGATGGGACCTAGTAGCAAGTCAGATGGTAATGTTACATGACTTTTACCAAGTCCACGAGTATTTTGCATCAGCTCAAACTCTGGCAGTCCTGGGAGTGGTTGTGAAGGAGTGTGTACGTCTCCACCTCTCCCACTTCCTCTCCTGCTTCCCCTCCCGCTTCCCCTCCCGCTTCCTCTCCCGCTTCCTCTTCCCACACGTCTCCCTCCTCTTTCTTGAACACTTATATTGCTGCTACTGTTCTGCTCATCTTATTATCTTGTTCTTCTTGCTCCGGTTCACATTCATACGCCGCAAGTATGTCCTCTTCACAGAAATCTGTTTCGTCACGGTGCCAACTCTCTAAACTAACTAAGTATTGTGGGTCTGATGTAGCTTCAAACTCAGTAGAATAAGACATTTTTATTAAGAATATCTACAACAGAAAACTAATTAACAGTTTACAACGTTAAACGTATGGGTATTATAACAGTTATTAACTCCATCAGCAAATTGATCGATAAAATATACATACTTAGGGTTAATGATCGGCGAGCGATCTGCAGACAAACAAGGCTGTATTGACCGACTCGTGCAACATATAATCACGTGACTTTACATACTAGTAGCTACGATTCCAAGGTTTCTGGCAAACTATATATGTTGGGGGTGTTTACTTAGTAACATCAGATGATATAAAGCGATTTTTTGTTGGCGGATCCAAATTACAGGCAAATTTGCCTGTAATACAGTTTAAGGGATAATATAGAGCGACAGTTTTTATCAGTTGACCAATGAAATTGTAAGAATCAGGTTACGTTCTACTCTGGTAATTCGTACTACCCTATAATAATAATAATATTATTAATACGGGTTTATCGGCTATGTAATATCGGGTTTACGAGGAATTTATTATAAATTGCAAGGGAATTGAAAAAAGTATCGATTTTGAGTGGTATCGGTTTTGAGTGGTATCGGTTTGAATGTATTAATAATAATAATTGATCGATTCAATTCATTCGATAGAAAAGGCCAATAACATTACTACAGTTTCCGAGCTTCGACTGTACAGGATTTCAGTGAAGATTCCCTGCATGCCATAGATGTTTGTCTATCGTTGTCTGTAGCAATAAAATTGTACATAGTAATAGTCAACCTCGTCAATCCGAATTCCTCCGAATTTTTATGATAATAATAAATCGCTGTTATTATTATGAAAAACATGTCATATAAAAATGGGTCCGGTTCATTTGGCCGACAATCACTTGCCCGACAAAAAAAGATAACTTTGAAATAATGCTGGTAAATATTTGTCGGGCAAATGACTGTCGGGCAAGTGAACGGCTCCCCGTTACTCTCATATTTATTTATTTTCTAATAAAAACAATAAACAGAATTAATGGAATTTGGTGCCCAGAAGTCCTGACTTGTACAGAACACTGTGCACACTAGCAATTACAAGCGCTTGTCAGTTAACTGACAAATAATTTCATAGACATTCTTATGCAAAATTCGCTGACTTTTTTAGAATACACGCTCTTCAATTTGTCGTAAAAGGGTATTGCATAACCAAGATATCAACAATTTGCACGTGCAATGCTCATCCATTCTTAATAACGAAACAGCTTACTTATTCCGGGGAGCTGTCAGTCTGCTTTCTGAATAAACTTGCTTTGGTGTGACATACTTATACCTTGTGCGTGTATAGTTGTATGTTTATAGAAAAACCGATATTCTGTATTTGGTTAGCTCTTCCACAGAACGAAATTGGGAACCAGAATCAAACTACATCGGAGTTGCAAGTTTCATCTTACAAATAAATTATAATTAACAATACTGAAATTCGTTCATATGTTGATCACCTGCTACCAATCCGGACACCCCAAATTTAACCCCTTATATTACAACTTGGTCAACAGTAATCTATATTTCGATAACTCTTTCTGGACTTCACCCTTTCGTTAAACAAAAGAGGCCGTTGACGGCTTTAAATACTTTGCAATCGTTCTTATTAACTAGTCGTATAGAAGAAATCTTGCAGACATGGAAACGGCCATTGTCCACTACGAAGCCTTTAAAAACTACCTTGCCACACCTTCTGCAATAGGTACTGAGAAGTTGTGCACAATAACTGTATGCTTTACCCTATCTACCCCTCCACAGTCGCTGATCTAAGGACGTTTGACATATTTTGTGTCTCTCGTCGAAACTTTATTGATACAAGTTACTGCTAATTTTAATCATCGAACACCGATCTAACATTTATTTACTATTTTAGAGCAAGCAGGAACTGCCGGCTCACGAAAAGATGCAAGGGAAAAACTCACAAGACTGTCAAAACAACAATTTCAGGAATTGTCTATTGGTGAGTTGAACGAATTTAGTTGAATTGTTCTATAACAGTCTTGTAGTAACATGCATTGGATTTCAGATGTGTACGACGAATTGTCCAGAAGACTCATGAATGATAATGAAGGTAATTAAATTCATTGATATAGACCGACTGTAATATTGTTTGAGTCATTTCGTCGCCTTTATCCAATGGTTTCTGTCTGCGATCGGAGTTTATTGATTATGTTTGTCGATTTCGTTTAAAGTGCCATATCTTCGTGTTTGTGATGAGTTTCATCCCAAAAGGAACCAAGCTCGTCGGAAACTGGCAACTCTACCAATGAACAGATTTAAGGATCTCGCGAGTGATGTTTACTTTGAACTAGAACGACGCTATCCGGAACTCAAGGATATGATGGTCAGTTATTATTTATAATTAAATAAATGGAAGACGTTTTTTAACTTGCTACTATATCCATTGCAGTTCCCATCTACCTCTCAGCCACAAAACAGTTCCCTAGCGGCTCCCCAAAAGTTAACCGCTGGCGTTACATTACAAGCACCACAATCTAATACAATTGTTCCTGAAATGGGGACCCTAAAAGAAGAATCAATAGAAGTCGATTTTACTATTCAAAAACACAATAATAGTCGTCCGGAAACACCTAATACCAATGTCAACATCAATAATAATGTTAATGCTAACAACTATCCCCCAATACCAAATGGCATGCCGCCAGAGTACAATTCTCCTCGTTCTCCAGGAAGCCGAGTCCAATCTTCTGCATCTTCAGTATCGGATTACGGACGTCGTTATCTTAATGGGATGAGCGTCAGCAGTATCAGCAGCGCTTCCAGCAGAGAAACCCGAGTACGAGATACAACCAGTAGTCAAAAGAGCAAGAACGACGGTGTTAATTTTGCGTCTTTAGATACATTGATGGAAGATTTAGGGAACTTGATTGATGTAAAGAAACCAAATGGAGACGTTTCTAATACTTCTTTGCAAGCCGTGCAAAACATACCAGAAAAGCTAAATGAGGTGAAGCATTACGATTTTCGCTTATGTTGAAAATTGTTCTTGTAAAATTAGGAAAAAGAGATTAAGAAGTCTTCGTAAATAAGAACTGGCGTCAATTCCACGACTACGTTTTATTGTCACTAAATAACTTAATTTTCCTTTAGGACGTAAGAACGGATTCTACAAGTGCAACAAGAATCAGAGAACTTGAGCAGCTGTTAGAGAAGCAAATAGAAGCTAATAATGTACAAGCTATTAAAATAACGCGACTTGAGGAAGAGCTGAAAGAGCTGAATGAAGAACATTCACATCAGCTTGAGGTAAACATTTCTACGGGGTACGATGAACCGAGATGATATTCTTGGCAGGCATTGGAACTGTTTATATCTTTTTCGCAGGTTGCAAATGACGTTCGGAAACAGGCAACTTCGCTTCTGGAGGAAATCAAATCACTTTCTAGACAAAACGAGGAGCTCCTTACGGAGAAGGAGAAAGACACCGCCAAGATCAAAGAGTTAACAACTCAAGTTAATGACTGGAAGAGTAAATATGAGAAAGTCAAAATTGATCTCAGGAATCTCAAGGGTAAATATTAACATCTATCTATTCGACAAAGGATGTTTTTGATATTCTAATTCTATGAATTTTTGATTTGATGATAGCGACGTCATCTTTTGTAAAAGAGCATCCTAAAATTGACGTTATCAAAGATAATTCTTTGGCGCCTTCGTCTGATGGCGCCGTAGAAGAAGCTAAGATTATGGCATATCAAGTTGCTATTGATGGATTGCTGCGTGCTGGACGGTGAGTTAAATAAGGTTACAGCACATGTATTTGTATTGATTTGAAGTGAAACTCAAAGCTTGTTGCTGATTTTGTTTGGAACCTCAATTAGGTCCGAAGTTCCTACTAATGTTATTATGGCCATGAAGGCCATTCTCGTTGCGTGTAAAGATATCACTGGTGACGTTGAACAATATGAACAACAGAAGAGTGTTTCGATGAAGGCAGAAGACAAGGAAAAGCTCTACGCCATGAAATCAAAACTTTCAGGCACATTAACCAATCTTATGACTGCGGCCAAAAATCATGCCACCGGTTCGGGAATTTCACCAGTCAGCCTGCTCGACGCCGCTGCTAGTCATTTGACAGTAGCCGTTGTTGATCTGGTTAAACTTATAAAGATTAAACGTTCCGATAATGACAAAGATAAACTTAATGTAGATTCATTATCACCGAGTAGGAGTTCTACTCCTACTACTCCGCCAACGTCACAGAAGTTGCAATCCAGTAGGAACGATGCTTCTTCTGTATCTGCTTCGAAAGTAGACACTTTCGTTGACGAAAGGAATGATCGTGAATCTATCAATCTTGCAGATTTTAAGGTAACCGCGACGATATTTGCAGACGATGCTAATCATCAATGGTATTAATATCTAATCGGTTTTAATAGGCATACTTAGAACGTCAGACGGAGGCTATTGTTCAGGCTATCCAAACGCTACTGAGCGCCATCCGCAATGGTTCATATGTCAATGAGGTTACCGATAGCATTACTACTATTACGACCATTGTGCAAAATGTCATAGTGGTTGCGCGTGATTCATTTAACTCTCCTGCTGGCGAATCTTTTGCAGACCGTGGAAAGATGATTCTTAAAGATTTGGAAATTAGCGTCGACAAACTCGATCAAATGCGTGATTCGATATCATCTGACAGAGAAGATTTTGCAAACAATAAGATTTTGAAACAGTCACTGGCTAGTGCTGCTTTTGATATTGCCAAGTTTACCAAGGGACTGGTCGGACTAATTGAATGAACTTTAAGTGATATATGTTCTATCACTATTGAAATCTTATAATAGAAAGGACTTTTGATTCAATGTGATGAAAGTTTGCGTCGGTAAAATTATCTTGTGTAAACAGTATGTCGCGGAGGTTTCGTGAATTAGATTTTTGTTTATCCGCTCACTTGAGCCTATTGGTAAAGTGCAAATCGTGTACATATATGAATTCCAGAATAGTATATTCTGTAAAATTATTATTACTATTATTATTATTACTACTATTATTATATTTATTCGTAACGACGATACAGAATAAATTCATAGATATCTTACACGTGCAAGCATCTCGGTCGCATTATCAATCACATGGCATATATACCTAATAAAATGTTCTGAAATCATAATACTTACATCCAACAAGACGTACGAATTTTGCTATATTTATTGCAAATACTCTATTGTTCGCCCATCATCAAAATGCTGCGTAAAACAGGCGAGTCGTTGCTTAGAAGAACTAGAAATTACTAAATTTAAATCACATCGTAAAATTGCTTGAAGTATGAATGTCAATAAGATGGGTAAGTCGCATTTAAATTTTGGCTGTAACCCTGCCAAAATATTCTGGGTTATCCTAACAGATATTCCCTGGAACGCGTAATTTGGAGGGAATAATTTCTCTCGTAAGTAATAGATGGAAGTTCTAGGCCCCAAAGTCCTTAGTTGGCAATTGATTTCCGGACCTGTACAGGTTCTCCAAGTTTAAAAATAAACTAGCAAAACAGCCATCACAACGATGTAGTGTATATGCCTTTATTGAAATTTCGTAACTAATGTACACAATATGAAAACGAATTCTATGAAAACTTTCCCGATCCTATATATTAAATAGTTTGTGCTGACGGTATTTCCCCGACGTTTAGTTTACAAAAATCGTATGTATTTTTTCATAATCAGCTGCATTCTGCAACTTAATGTTATGTCGGAGAGTACCTCTTGAGATAGCCATTTCGGTGGGAATGGAAGATTCGGGAAGTGGAACTTGGATACGACCGACAAATGGGGGCTCGAACCCAATATGACCCTGCAAGTCCAATTCATAAAATTAGAAAATTATATTCATTGCGTCGCAAACACCAGGTTCTAAATCCCTTACCTTCGACGTCTTAACCTTTTTCAGCTTCCCTAATTGTTGCATTTTTGATTTCAATTCATCGCTACGTTTTTGCAAGGTATACATGGTTGACCGTTGGGCATGAAAATGATATTCTGGCATGTTTTTTCTAGGCTGCCACCCTTTATGAGCTGTTGTCGTCTTGCTCAAATCAATAATACGTGGGGATGCGCTAACAGAACGGAAATCCTAAACGAAAATATAGTTGTTGAATACACACTATTACAAATTAATACAAGAAATATGATTACAAGCTATATAAACCTTGAGTAATGTTTTCGCTTCCGTAGCCATGGACTTGACTAAATCGTCGTTGCGCGCGTCCTTTGATTTGTTAGGAAGAAGGTGCAGATTCAATACAGTCATCGCATCTTTTCCTTTCAAGTGAGCATTCTCTGCCCGCAAATAACGAACAGCAAACTTCAGAGATTCGATCTGTGTAAAAGTAAAAATTTCATGCAGATGAAGAGAGAGTACCAAATTGCGTCGCAACAAAATGTTATTCCTTTCAAATACCTGACTTGCAAGACGTTGAGTCTCAATTGGATTAGTATCAGTGGGCATTGTAGTTTCTTCAATTTCTTCGTCGTCCGGAATAGCAAAGTTTTGATTGACGGGCGAGTTCTGACGTCCTGCAAGGTGGTAGTCAAATAACTTAGCATAAACTTATTATATTAACAATGAGTCATGAAAACTAGAAAAATGTAGATACACATACCAGTCTCTTCCAAAGTCTTCGCAAGGCTTTTGAACTGTCTATTTTCCTGTTCCAGAGAGTCGATGTCCGCATGAAGACTCTCCATAGTCTTTTCGAAAAGGTTCTGTTGCTTCCGCGTCTCGGTAAGTTGTTCTTCCAGTTCAGCGATTAAATCAGCCTATACAAATTTAATGTTATAATCAACTACTTTGACGTGAGATCTTCCAAAGTTTCAATCTTACCTGTTTCTTAGCCGTCTCCATCCGCTTCTCAAGAAGATCTATTTTAATCTGGTTCTCCTGTAAGCTTTGATCCTAACATCCCAGCAAACAGATTCATTAATCATCAGTAACAAACAAAACGATACCAAAAACGTCCTAACAAATTTATTTACCTTTAATTTTAGTTCTTTGAACAGTTCACGAATTTCCTCTGCAGCTTGCTGAAGTTTACGCTCCATATCCACATTTACTGCGACTTCCGCCTTGATGTTCTTGGCTCTTATGACCCATGGCGATTCACCCTTGCTGACTGACTCGGCGTTAAGTAGTTAGCATCATCAAACAGTAATATATTCATCATAACGCAGAATTATTGACAGAAACTTACTTGGTTCGGTTCGGTCATTATCACTGGCAGTATTGTTAAGATTACCCACGTCTTGGAATAACTCCTGTATCAGTTTTGTGCAGCCTTCCCATATCTGCATTTCGTTCACGCCAAGAATATCTTCTGTCGCTTTGTAGACGACATGGTGCAAGCCACTGAGTTGCAAGACTTCTTTTGAGCCTTTCCTTTCATTTATGTATACGGAAATGCCTTTCCTCACCTATAATTACATAAAAGTTGGCACGAATCTCAAAAATATAATCGCAAATATTCATGACTAATCATACCTCCTGCCAAAAGTTGGAAATTTTAGCGCTCAACAAGTAACAGCTCTTAAATTGCGAAAGTAGATCCGGTTTCAAAGTAAGATCTTGTCCATTCAAGTCATCTAAGCGTCGTAATAGTTTCCTGCAAATTTACAGAGTTCAGTATAACACATTCATTTCATATAATATCATATCAACGATAAAGATGCAAAAAATTACCTCGCGACTACCTTACTACTTTTCGCTTGAGAGAATAAGCTTTGCACAGGCTGGAAGAAGTCATTGGTAAATAGTTCGCTTCCATCCGTGACGGTAATTTCTACGGAAAACAATTTCGTTTATTTTACGTTATGTGCATTGCTCGCAAAAAGGTTAGAAACATACCTTCATCTTTACAAGCAAGCGCAACTGCTTGCTTTATATGACCGAGTGTTACAGAAATGGTATCTGCATTCAAGTCGATGGCCCTAGCAAATCCATAGAATTTGTCACCTTCATCCACCCTTGTACTAGATAGGTAAAGCTCTGCGAGATGCTCTAACTGAACAATAGATCTATTCACGGATTAGATTCGTACAGTTAGTCGTGTTATGTTTATACTCGAGAGAAAAGAAGATACTTACTTCTGTACGTCGCCGATGTAGTCGTTTTCCTTCAATTCTTCTTTCCGTAAAAGCTCGACGATATGATTTAGCCTGAGCGTACAATTCAATCAGTTTCAAGTTGGCTTTGAAAACTTTGCACATACCAGGTACAAACCTACGCTCCGTTCCAACTAGATCCTGATATACTTGACCCATTTTCAGGAAAGTCTCAACATTACAACAATTTATAAATGAGACAAATCGTTTACTCAGGTCCGCAAACCAAGCAAGCTTCTGTCTCATCTTTAGCAATGCATGAATCAGAATTGTATTGGTAAGTGAGTCTAGAATTTAATATCTTTGAAAATTCAAATTTTACCTCGCAGACGGATATGAGTTCTTCGGGCACAGTGGAGTTCAATTTCTCAGGAATATTGTGGATTTGATCGAGCTGCTTAATTACTAGCTCGGATTTGAACACAAGACGCTTCATCAACAGAAGGCATCTTATCGAGTCGTTATCATTCGTAAAGAAAGAATCAGGAAGGTACGACTATGTCGATACAATGAAGGTCAGTCAGAGAATACATTCAAGAAAATACGATTCCTTGGAGACTTCCTAAACCAGAAAACTCACTTGAACGTATGCTAAATTGTCTGAAGCTTGAGTAGCATCAAGCTTACGTAACTCCAAATCAATTTGCTTAGCTTGCGCCTTCATCACAGTTGATTGCAACTGATAGTTCAAATTAAGCATGGCTTGTGACCGACTGCTGAAATCGTTCGACTCTGAGGAATGACTCGCTTCTCGTTGCCGCATTTGTTCAAGATCACTAAAAAAAACAAATTAGTATTATCAGGAATGCGTTCAGAGTAAGTCTTCCAAATTACCTTTGAAGATTCGCTACAAGCTCACGGAATTGATTGATAGTATTTTCATAGTCTGCATTTGTCTCGTCTGCTATCTCAAGACGTTTCACGAAATCACGAATTTGTATATCCTTATGATCTAATTAGAAAGTTTACATAAATACTAGCAATCTTAAATATGCTTGCTTAAAAACTGTCAGATATACACGTACCAATCTCTGCTTGCAATTGTTTCTCGTTCTCAATATGACTTTCTTCGAGCTCATCAGCGAGTTCCTTGAGAGCCTCGAGATCTTCTATTGTTGCTTTCATTTCTTCAAGTTTCTATTGAGAATGAATTGCGGGTAAAAAATTGCATCTTATACCAACGAATACTTGACAATATCTGTGTTCCAAATACCTCTCCCATAGCCAAATTCTTCTCAGTGAGTCTCTCGACCATGTCTTCGGCCCCGAGTGCATCATCCAGTTGCAATTTTAAGTCTTCGATATGACTATCAGCAGTTCTCAACTGTTGTTTTAGCTGATCACATTGCACTATGAAGATAAAAATTTTAGGAAGAGATATCTTCGATAATCTCGAACTTTAGTTTCATTACCTTGTATGTCCTGTAATGAGGTAAGCTCTTTTTCTGCAGCCTTTAGCTTCTTCTGCAATTCGGCCTCTTGTTCACTTGTAACATCACGCAGTCTGAAAACCATTACGATCAACTTAATATGTTTCTCGAATTCGTAAATACTTCTCTTGCACGTTTTGTTAATACCTCACAAGAGCCTCCTTTAATCGTGCGTTCTGCAGTTCAAGCTGGCGAACCTCAACGGCTGGTCGAGCATCACTTCCATCTCCTTGATGAAAGAGTTCTTTATAACGAGTAAAATATGAGAAAGTTATCGACAGTTGGATACGACTACAATAAAATAAAAACTCTGCCTGCCTTCTTGTTTAAAGACATTCAAGTCAACGCTGATCTCCTCAATCTTTTCTTTTAACTGGATAACTTCATGTTGCAAGTTCTCCACTCTCTCTTCAGCTACTTCCTTATCCAATGTCATCATTTCCATATTTTCAGAGACCTCATTATACCTAGCTTCGAAAATCTCTTTCTCTGAGATAGCTTCTTTAAGCTGCCTCCTCAAATCACGCATCTCTGCCTGCATGTCAGTCAACTTGACTATGAGGTAAAAAGTCTTTAGATTACTGGGTTGGTCAAATGATAACATTAAAACTGTAACTTGCGTGAGCAAACCTTGAAGTTTCGGTTTTACACTGAGAAATTGTTCGGCTTCTTGCCTCATCTTCTCGGTTTCTCGCATTTTCTCACGGTCCTCCGCCCTCTTATTTTCCAGTATTTTTAATTTCAATCGGAGTTCTTCATAATCTTTGAGTGATACCATCTGCAAAGGTCGGAATTGTTAGAGAACTCATTACATATACGAGTAATTAGCTGTTCTCTTACCTGCTCACGCGTATGAGTTGACTCTTGTAATGAAAATGGATCAGACGAACTACTCGCTGTTGTTTCTGTTGCGGTTGTGTAAATTTCTGCCTTTGGTAATAACTCTTCTGTGGCCATGTCTTCTTTGACCTCGTCAATAGTATCGTCCATCAAATCCGCATCATCCTCGCCGCCATCATCGAGCTCACTCAAACTCAGTATGCTCATCCTCTTCATATCAATATTAGTAACTTCTGATGGCAACCGTTGTCTCTTTGCAAATGTAGGGCTACTTGGAGTACGAACATTTGCCCTAGAGCCTGTTGGGGAAGGCGTCCCTCGAGGCGATCGAGGCGTTCCTGCTGTGTTTATTCTGCTAGGAATGCCGCTATTAGATATTATCGAAGACGATCGAAGACGTGATCTTGCAGTAGCCGCCTGCGGATCGTGTGCAGGCGCAAACTGTGTTGAATCGTTTTGGGGGGTTCTCTTTGAGGGTATTCATAATTAGTCTTCATGTAATGTTCGCAAGCGACTTCAACTGCCTTGTAATAACTTTGATTGCTTTTTTTGCCGATAGCTTACTTACCGAACGATCTTGAGTGGGGCTGTTTGGTCCGACAATAGTTTTTAATTGTGAAGGCCTTACAAACACTCCGTGTTTTTCTTTACATTCAAAGTATTTTTTGCCCTTGACTGAACCGTCGTTCTTCCCCTTCGGTTCATCCAACTCGACGCCAACCCATTTGCCAGAAGAGAAGCTTGTAACTCCTATAAAACGTATGACACCCCAGCTTCCATTAATCTCGCATCTTGCCCCCACTTGTAAATTAGCTGTAGCCATATCTCAGTGAACGAAGAGAATAAGATGTATTAGAACAGACCAGTTACCCCTTGGTTATAACAAAAATGATTGCACGCAGGCAGGTGCACAGACTGTTACCAATTCCGGACATTTTGCGCAAATTACACTTGATTTCACAAGTTAGCGTCATTATCAGAAGTTTAGTGACACGAGGCATAGTCGCCTCGGACCAAAAAAAAGCCTTGTAATACATATATATAATATGGTTCTGCTATATGAACGCAGTTCTTCAGAACTTTCGCTTTCAGGTTGTTTAGTCGATACTTACAAGATTGTCCTGACGCTAGCTCGCTTTCTTTTATTATATTTGGTTGTAGAAAATCTTTCTTATACACAATATTGAGATGTACGAACTGTACAAAACTGGTTCGGATCGAAAAAACCCCCTCATATGCTCAATTGCTTTTATCGAAGCATAAGGGGTTCTACTTGTATATATTTTACTCAATAATACATTTCAAAACACGACGTTTATTAAACCAACGTGCAAGAGACGTATGACGTCACAATTGAGACGTTACGACGACTGGGAGGTAAAAGATTTTTCGAATACGCAAAGTCTTTAAGCATGACCAGTAATCACGAAATTATTAGTGACGTTGGTTCAGAACTCGGGGCGCTTGTTACCTTTTTGGAATACTCTAAAGACACGCTTGGATCTCGCCCAGAAAAGCCTTACATCAATGAAGATTGCTTAAATATATTTGTTCTGACCCAAATCGCAATTGGGTTTGGGGTCAGAGCATAGTCACGGCATAACTTTGCTTCTACAAAAAATTCGTCTGTAGCAACGTACAATTTATTTAGCGGAAAATGTCGAGGCCTAGACAGACAAGTTTCTCTTGATCACATTGTGATATCACATTACTATTACTTATTACTTGCAAAATTACATTACTATTACAATAACAATGACTGGTTTCCCAAAGATCTCTCGATAGTGTCGCACCAGGAGAATGGCAAAACCCAGAAAGAAGAGGGGGTTGGTGGTGAGACAGTTTAGAGCGCGGAAAATTGATAGATCGTAATTGTTAGGGTCAATACCCTACTTTAAACGGAACCAGGGCTTTTTCTTGGAGCCTTTGTTTCCGGTTTCACATAGAGACAGTCCATGCTGATGCTCATGCGACAACGTATTATCAGATCATTTTTTCTGTCCCTGATTTTTGACTGACGTTTATCACTTTACGAGCGAAGAAAATAGGGCATTAGTTGGTAAGAAAAACTAGGAACTAAACCGTAGTTGATCAGTTATCATTATTATTATTATTATTATTATTATTATTATTATTATTATTATTATTATTATTATTATTATTATTATTATT